GAGGGCCTCATCCACTTGTTCTTCTTAGTCAGGGGGCCTGTAGCAGACCCCCACTCTAGTGTCCCCTGTCCCTGCCCTCCCTTTTTTACTGACTCATAGGCTCTCTGTGGGTTCGTCATCTAACCCCAGGTGGAGCTCCATGTGCTCCAGCTGGTCACTGAGGTGGAGGGTGACAGTCCCTCCTCGTCTCCACTGCTTGTCCTTCCTAAAGAGCCTGTATCTCTGCATTGCAACACTCCAGTCGTAGCATCCATCCCACCATGTCTCCATGATGCCAGTAAGATCATACCCCCGCAGGTGTGCACACATCTCCAGCTCCTCCTGTTTATTCCCCATACTATGTGCATTCGTATAGAAGCACTTAAGTTGGGCTCCCAGAGAGGCTGGACCTCCTGTGTGCTGCTCTCCAGCCGCCCTCCTGACAGCCTGTGAACCTTTTCCAGGCTCTGGGCATTTGTTGCTGGCTTTTCTGTCATTGGAGAGGTAAGAGTGGGATGGATTAAGGCTCCCCTCCCCTGGCAATATTAGTTTAAAGTGTTCCTCCCCAGGTTGTCAAGCCTATGACCAAAGATTCTTTTCCCTCTCTCAGACAGATGGATCCCATCAGCCCCCAGTAGACCAGGCTTCTTGAATCAAGCCCTATGGTCTAAGTAGCCGAACCCCTGGGGTGTGGCACCACTCCTGCAACCATTTATTGACATGCTAAATTCTATCTGCCCTTTCATACCCTTTCCCTTCAACTGGGAGGATCATAGAATCATAGAATGGTTTGGGCTGGAAAGGACCTCAGAGATCATCAAGTTCCACCCCCTGCCCCTGCCATGGGCAGGGACACCTTCCACTAGACAGGTTGCCCAAAGCCTCATCCAGCCTGGCCTCGAACACCTCCAGGGATGGGACATCGACAACTTCCCTGGGCAGCCTGTTCCAGTGTCTCACCACCCTCATAGTGAAAAATCGAAAAGAAAACCACCTGCACCCCGGAGCCCTTTACTGCCTCTCCCAGTACTCTGTAATTCTCCTTGATGCTCCTCAGGCTCCTCCCGGCCATGTCACTGTTGCCCACGTGAGACAACAGTAGCAGATAATAGTTGGTGGGCCGCACGAGGTTTGGTATTCTCTTGATCACATGTCTAATATGAACCCCTGGCAAGCAGCACACCTCCCTAGAGAGAGGGTCAAGTTGGCAAATGGGTGCCTTCATAGCTCTCAGAAGAGAGACGCCTATTACTATCACCCGTTGCTTTTTCTTGAGCTAGTCATTATGTGAGGAGCAGATCGGGCTACCTTGCTTGGCCCCAGTGTCTCTTGTGATGTGATGGGTCCTTCTCTTGAGTTTGCAGAGCAGTGAAGCGTTTCTGCAAGGGCACTTCAGCCTTTGGAGGAAGCCTCTTCCTCCTCTTGGTCTTTGCCTTTGCACGCTTCCACTCCTCCGCATTACGGGCTTCTGCCCTGTCTGCATTGGTGGCCACCCTTTCTTCTGAGTGTACTGGTGGGGGGGTTATTGGTTGTTTATCCATGGGTTGTGGTACCACAGCACACTGCACCTGAAACCAGTTGCCTGTCTCCTTCTCAGCTTCCCTGATGCTACACAGCCTTCTCACTACCTCCTGCAGCTCAGCCACATGCTGCAGGAGCTCCTCCACTTGGGCACACCTTTTGCAGGCAGGTCTACCCCCTGCCCCAAGGGAAAGGCCCAGGCACCTCCTGCAGTCCAAGGTCTGCACCACAGCCTCTCCCTTCCACAGCTCCGTCTGGGTGGAGACTTTGGCCACCACAGGGGTAGGTAGATGGCGCAGAACCCCCAGCTGGAGCTGCAGCCTTTGCCGCCTTCGCTGTAAGGCGAGTACCTACTGTTCTGCCTCATGGTCTGTGCTTTGCCTGGTCCTCAGGTCTGTTTTTCTTCTAAGAGGTGCCCTCCCATGCACCCTTCTGTGCAAACTGCCACCCAAACTCAAAACCCAAATTTCGGGACCTTCAGTGTCCCACCACATTAGCTACCCCTTCTGCTGCCACAGCATGTTGTGGGTGGTGCCTGCGCACTGCTTGTGCTCTGTGTGCATGGTAGGCACTGCCCTCTCTGAGGCAGATTTTGAGAACAGAGGTGTGGTTGCCATTGCCCTGGCAACGCCCATGCCACATCGGCTGCTTTCGTGAGAGCTGGTGATTGGAGTCGGCTCCACTCTCCCAGTGTTTCCGTGGCAAAGGAAACTTCCACCCCCCTGTACCTTGAGATCCGTAGGTCCAGTGCTGGCCGGGCCAGCCCCAAAGCAGCTGACCTTGGGGACTGCGTAATATATGAAAAATAACATTGTCGGAGTTAGTGATGCATTCTCTGTCTGCTGGTCCTAAGCCTGGAACCAACCGCAGGCAGTATTGTAGATGGAGCTGGTATGAACTGGTGAGTTACCTGTGATGAAACACTCAGTACCTTCCTGCGCCAGAGTCAGCTAGCAGCTTTGAACTCCTGAGGGTCAGGTTTCTGTTTCTTGGATCTTTTAGAAGCATACTTTCTCTTCATTACTACTCCCATGAGCATGATGGAAAAATCTGTAAAACCAGAATAAATTTGTAAGCCTGCACTAGTGTTCAGCAATTGTAGGAGATCTTAGGGCAATGCTGTCCTTCCTTCTGGGATTGATGTGCTTGCGCATTTTTGGGGTTTATTTATTTATTATTTGTCGAGATGGGTTTTGGTTTGTTTTTTTAACTCATTATAGGATCTTACAGAGGTAAAGGTCCACCTATGTAATGAAAGCTTAAAGACCGGTTCAGTATCTTACAGCGTTTTCCTTCCCTACCCTGATAATTCATCACCATATAATTTGATTGCTTCTCTTGCAAGCTAGGACTGACATTAACAGTGTGTGATGGCACATTACAGAGAAGCTCACCAAGTGTGAAGTAGGGTAAGGAAAGAGGCCGCTAAAGGTAGCTCATTGACTAGTGCTGCTTTCTGTTAGAGTAAACTGAAAACACCAGAATAATGATAGAAGGTAATTCTGCATGCTGTTCTTCCCTGTTCAGCTGGAAATTAGTGAACCCAATTGATAGTATTTGCTTTGGCTTGAAATATAGATTCTCCCATGTCAACATCATACTAAAAAAAATCGGCTGCGTGCCTTGGGGCTGGCTGCCTCTCTTCTGGGTGCCACAGTACTGCTATTTTTCAGGTCCTGAGATCATGAGCAAGTTGGCTGGTGAGTCTGAGAGTAACCTGAGGAAAGCCTTTGAAGAAGCAGAGAAGAACGCTCCTGCCATCATCTTCATTGATGAACTGGATGCTATTGCTCCCAAGAGAGAGAAGGTAAAGAAAGCATGCAGAAGGTGGAGCAGTACATGTCTTTTGGTAGCAGCTGGCGTGAATCTCTGCCTTTGACTACAGGGTAAAGCAGTATTTAACTTAATGCCTGATGTCAGTTGGACATGAGAAGATTAAGTTACAGTTCACAATGTTTTTTAACAGCTCATGGCTGTCATATCTGTCTGCTCTTGTGCAGTACTAGCTCTGGTGCTGTGTTGCAAAGCTTTTGTTCTAACCACTGTTTTCTCCCTCCATAGACACATGGAGAGGTGGAACGTCGCATAGTGTCTCAGCTGTTGACTCTTATGGATGGACTGAAACAGAGAGCACACGTGATCGTTATGGCAGCTACCAACAGACCCAACAGCATTGACCCAGCACTCAGGCGATTCGGTAACCACAATTGCAGTCCCTTTTTTGAGTGTCGCATACTTTATTACAGGCTATGCTTCAGGGGCCTTGGAAGGATTGAGCAGAAATTAATACTAAACATCTTCTGTGTGTTACATAAACTATTGACTTTTCTCCAGCTGCCTGTTTGAAATTCATTTCTAGGCTTCCAGCCTTTGCTCTAATTTTTTCTGTGCCATATTAGGTTAGAACTTGCAGAAATAGAAATAAAAATAAAATAAAATAAATAATGAATAAATAATGAATAAAAAATACTTTAAAGTGGAAAAGTGTGCTAGTTTCTGTTGGATGAAGCGATTTCAGAACACGCTGAACGGTTAAATGCTTAAGGGGTTGTTCGTGCCTTAGGTTGCAGAAGGCTCTGAATTGTCTGATTTCTCTTTATTGATGAGAGGTCTGGTAGTTTCTGAGGTTCAGGTTTTCAAAACCTTGCAGTGTGAATGAATGTCTGGTGCATGACCAGTTGGTAAAGTCTGTAATAGTAAGCTGGTCAAGTGTGTGGGGGAAAACAGCCTCTTAAATATGTACCGAGGCATTTGAATGCGTAGCTATGGCTCGAGGCAAATGATAAGTGTATGTACCTTGGCTAATATTGCAATAATACCTGGGTTTCCTGCCTCACCAGATATTAGGGCAATTCATGTTTTTCACCACATGGGTACTGCTATGAAAGTTCTGAAAAATTAAATCAGGACTCTTGTGCTGAGTACCCAAGGCTAGAAATAAACAAAAATGTCTCATGGTAAGTTGGTTTGGGGAAGCATATTTTCCTATAAATGAGGCCCAGAAAAAGTTAGTAAACCAGCAATCCTCTGGTTCATATAATATTGAACTGTAGTTAATACAGTAGTCTTACTTTCCCTAAATGGCAAACCTTTTCCTCCTTCTCTGATCTGACTCTGCTGCTGTGCTGATAGATGCTGCAGAGAAACCTAAAGCTCTCACATTTTTTGAAATTTTATGTGTTTGTGGCTTGTCATTATGTTGTTCGGTCAGAGGAAGGCAGCAACTGCAGCTCCTCTAGTTTGCAGAATCAGCAGCTCAACATATGTTTTTGCACTCCCCAGGTCGTTTTGACAGAGAGGTAGATATCGGTATACCAGATGCCACTGGGCGCCTGGAGATCCTGCAGATCCACACAAAAAATATGAAACTGGCTGATGATGTGGATCTGGAGCAGGTGAGTAGTGTGCTGTTGGGAAAGCTTGTCTCTGCAGACAGATGTTTCCGATGCTCTGTTTTGTAGTGGAAGAGTTGTTAAGGCTTGATTGCATGAATGTAGTTGCTCATTAGGACAGCATGATGCTGGGTGAATGTGTGATTTTCCTACTGACTAGTTTACCAGTGACCAAAAATCCTCACTCACTAGTTAAGAATGGCATGGCTAAGTGAAACAAACGTGTATCAGTCCAGTCTGGAAGTGCCTTGCCACTCTCCTCCTGGATTTGTTTGTTGTGGCATTCTCTTTAAAGTAAAACAAGCCTGAAGGAGCTCACACAGAGCTGTGTGGGTATTGTGATGCTGGACACCACATATAAGCTGGATGATTCCTGTAATCTCTGTCCTGAATGAAGAACTGCAGTCAGTCCTCAGGGTTATCTTTCTGCACACCATGTAAATTCCCCTTGCAGCTTTCATCTCAAGTAGAAGGTAGAACAGCAGCTTCTTTGCCTGTTAAATATGTGATAGCACTTGCCTTGAATTCCCAGCAAAGCACTGATGTTCCTGACCCTCCAGAGTTTTGTTGCAGCTCCCAGTGAGTGACCAGAGCATGCATTGTCCTTGCAGAGCGCTTGCTTGTATCCCTGTGAGTCATAGTCAGTGCTCTGCTTTCAGGTGGCAAACGAGACCCATGGCCATGTTGGTGCTGACTTGGCTGCTCTTTGCTCAGAAGCTGCTCTTCAGGCTATCAGAAAGAAGATGGATCTCATAGACCTAGAAGATGAAACCATTGATGCTGAAGTGATGAACTCGCTGGCTGTGACCATGGATGACTTCAGGGTAATGCAGGAGTGCCCCTCTTTCTTTGGGTGCAGTGTCTAATTACTTACCTGAAGCAACTGAACATAATGTATTAGAATTCATATAATGCCATTTCTTCTAACCATAGTGGGCTCTGAGCCAGAGCAACCCTTCTGCTCTCCGGGAGACTGTGGTGGAGGTGCCACAAGTTACCTGGGAAGATATTGGTGGTCTAGAAGATGTAAAGAGAGAACTCCAGGAGCTTGTACAGGTAAGGGTTTCCAACAGATTTTTGCCTAGTCAGCTTGCAAAGTAATTATAATAGTAAAATCCAGAACTTCTTCAGACTCCCATTTAGGCTGTGAACAGGGTAAATGCAGAGGTGTTTTGTGGTTTTTGCTTGTAATGAACTGAAAATACCATGATGTTCCATCTTAGTGAACTTGGAGAGGAAGGTGCTGGGAAGCAGCACTGGGCTTTCCTTAGCTGTGTCTGCGGTGTCATCTTGGGTGGGTGTTGTGCCACATGCAGAAACAGGAGCAGTTCTGCTTCTCTTAAGTGGACACCAGCAGTGGGACCACTGCTGAGAATTCTCTTAAGTGGTGGTTTTATATATTAGAACATGGATGAAGATTCTTGTACGGAGAGCCTCTGAGGGGCTTCCCATTAGCATTAGCACAGAGATGGGTGAGAAGTAATTGTGAAGCCTTCTACAATGGGAAGACTGGGACAATGGCCTGTGGAAACTCCTGGTAGCTGCACTGGAATGGTTTGGGTTCGATACGTTCCTGCTTTCAGTTGGCACTGAGAAACATTCTGTCTGTGAATACAAGAATCTAATTTTCTGATGTTAAAATCATCACCTATCTCTGACCTCGTTGCTGAGGATAAATGCTTACGTCAGACACCTTACCTGTCTCTGGAGAGCAGAGCGAATAGGTTAGATAATGAGCTGTTCCCTTTTGCTTCTGCAGGGCAGAGTGAAGTTGAGGTTAAGTGTGCTGGAAAACTACCTGAACTGGTATTTAGTTCTTAGAGGTAAATAGGTTTCTTTTTTTTAAGGCAGCTTCCCAATTCAGCTGTGGTGTTTTTCAAACCAGTGTCCATTTAAAAACTTCAGTGGCACTGAGCAGGCAGGATCTTGTGTTCAAGCCATCAGAAATCTCAGATAGTGTTTCTGGTAGGAGGAGAAATGAAGCTGATGTAGTAAAAGTTGTCCCTGCCCATGGCAGAGGGTTTGGACTAGGTGATCTTTGAAGGTCCCTTCCCACCCAGACTATTCTGTGATTCTAAGGTATAGGCCTGTTCTGGTGCATCATGAGAGGTTTTTGTTTGCTTTGTTCTCCTTCAGTATCCTGTGGAACACCCAGACAAGTTCCTCAAATTTGGTATGACCCCATCGAAAGGGGTTCTCTTCTATGGGCCACCTGGTTGTGGTAAGACACTGTTGGCCAAAGCCATTGCCAATGAATGCCAGGCAAACTTCATTTCCATCAAGGGGCCGGAATTGCTCACTATGTGGTTTGGTGAGTCTGAAGCCAACGTGCGTGAGATCTTTGACAAGGTAAGTGTTTCTCCTGCTCCTTGTCTTATGTTTGTTCTGAGGTACCCCCAGAACTTTGTCTCCAGTGCATCTGTCTTACTGGCTAGGTTCTTTTTTGTGTCTTCTGTGTTTTCCCCACCTGCGCTGAGAGCAGGGACTGCTTTCCTGATGTTAGAGAATTAATCCTCTTATGCAACATATCTGTTTTTTCTGACTGCAATTTGCATCTTGTTACAGGATGATAAATGCCCCGCTGCCTTAGCAGTGAGGCTAGTCTTAGGGTGGAATAGGTATCCTCTGCATCCCTGCAAACTTTGATACCTCATTAGCTGTCACTGTCTACAGATTTTCAGATGGGTTCCTGTTTTGCAATGTACGTGGCTTAGGGAGGAGCTCACTTCTACTGCCCAGTTCCCGTGTAGACAGTGCAGCCTTCTGTCCCAGAGTGTATCTGCATGGGTTATCCAGGGCATCCTCACTCCTGTGGTCAGGGAAGGTGCTGAAGGAGCAAAATGGGAAGGAGAGTGAGAGAGAAAAATCTAGGTTGGGAGGGAACGTCAGGCCATCTAGTCTAGATGTTTGTCCAGAGCAGGGAGGTAACTTGGAAATTCAACCAGGTGGATCAGTGCCTCATGTTCTGAACATGGGCTAAGGGTGGAGAATCCCTGACCTCTCTGGGCCTGTGTGCTAGTGTTTGAGCTCTCTCATTGTGAATATTTTTTTTCCCTGTTTCTAACTGGAATTTTCTTTGCAGCCATTTGTGCTTCTGGTCTTTCATACTTTCACTGCACATCTTGAAGAAAGATCTGGCTCCCTTTTGCCTATAACTACCTGTTAGGTAGCTGAAGACAACAATTGGATTTCCCCCTTCCATTGAATATATTTTGCCTACTGGTACTTGAGTGCCTAAACAACTAATTGATGTCCCCAGATCTGGAATGGAGAGTTCTTGTCCAGGCCAGCTGGCCCCAGCTTTCCCTCTAGGCATTGAAGTTACCACACTTCTGCCTGGTTCACAATGCTGCGAGCTTTGGGGAAGTTCAGCATGTTGTTCAGAGGAATTTAATCGAGGTTTTGTATGGTGGGAGTCTCTTCAGGAGCAGCTCCTTAAAGCTCTCATTGCAGCAGCAGTAGTCTGGTACTCCTCTGAGCTGCTTTAATTGTAGGTTAGGCTTAGTGTGAAATCAGCATGCTCCTCTACGGGTGGTATTAACATGGAGTAATTGTTCCCATTTGCTTTTCGCAGGCCCGCCAAGCAGCCCCTTGTGTGCTCTTCTTTGATGAGCTGGACTCCATCGCAAAGGCTCGAGGTGGGAATATCGGTGATGGTGGTGGTGCTGCAGACCGTGTCATCAACCAGATCCTGACAGAGATGGATGGCATGTCCACCAAGAAGAACGTTTTCATCATCGGTGCCACCAACAGGCCAGACATCATTGACCCAGCCATCTTGCGCCCCGGCCGGCTGGATCAGCTCATCTACATCCCTCTGCCTGATGAGAAGTCCCGGGTTGCTATCCTTAAGGCCAACCTGAGGAAATCACCAGTTGCCAAGGTAGGATCTGTGCCCTGACTGTGTCTTGACTTGGGTTTGCTGTGTGCTGCACGTGCTCCTCACAAGCTGGGGATGGAGCAGAGGGCTGGTGACAGCTCCACACAGTACAGTGCTGGGAAACCTTCAGTCCCTGAAGGATGGGAGCTGAGAGGTAGAAGGAGGCTTGAGCACTGAGGCAAGGTACCAGCGAAGCTAGGTGTTGGTGTGTGAGCACAGCAGGGCTTTGTCACCTGGTGGAGTTCTGCCTACAGTGTGGGAACAGGAAAGCCTCTTATTGCAAGATGGAAAAGATTCTTGTACTCAGAAAGAAAAGTAAATGTAGAACATGGGGGTGGGAAATGGAGATTGAAGACAAATTGTTGCAGTTAATTGTTGCTGAACTCTGTCATAGGCAAGAGCTATGTCCCTTGTCTGGGGAGCAGGCAATAACGCAACCGATATTTAACAGAGAAAAGCAGATGTCAAGTGACAGCTCAAGCTTTTTTATACAGAGCTTACCTTTTTAGGTTCTGTTGGGAAGGAAAACTTCAAAGAACACTGCAGTACTACTCTTTCAGTTGAGGTGAAGGAGGTTGATTTTCTTGGTCTGCCTGTGTCCCATCTCCATTTTCAGTCTGACAGTGTTTCATTTGACTCCTTATGCCAGAGACCTGAGCAAATGATATCCTAAATCCACAAGTCAGCCTGCCCCTTCTTGAAGGTGACCAGTGCAGAGGCATCTGCAGCTGCTTTGTGGTTTCTTGGTGGGTGTGTGCGAGGTGTGGCCTGCCTTCGTGGTGGTTAACTTTTCCCAGAAACAGGAACCTTAACAGCTGATCTTTTCAGAATTGGAGAAAGTTAAGGCAGCACCTTGGTACCATAGGATCTAAAGACATCTCTTTGTCACCTGAGGTTGTAAGGTGTTAAGGAGATGCCTCTCTTGTTGGTGTGTGTTTGTTTGTTTGTTTGTTTTTTCTCACTAGGATGTCGACCTGGATTTCCTAGCTAAGATGACCAATGGCTTTTCGGGTGCTGACCTGACAGAAATTTGCCAGCGTGCCTGCAAACTGGCCATCCGCGAGTCCATTGAGAGTGAGATCAGGCGAGAACGTGAGAGGCAGACCAACCCTTCTGCCATGGTGAGTGGGGCACCTGGTCATCTGTGGGCTATAATGTGTTCCTCTCTGTAATCCTCGGATGGGGACGAGTGGGCTCTCAGCACAGAGCTGGAGCACTTTGTTCTTATCTTGTGGGAGGTTGAGGCCCTCCTGGGGTGCCTCATGGTCAGCATTGCTCAGCAGGCCCCTGCTGCAGCCCTGACCCGCAGTCTGCTGCGTGTCCTTTTCCAGCCCCTGCCTTGGCAGGTCTTGGAGCGTGGCCCTGAGGGAGGCTGTGGGCAGCTGCCGGGCTGCGGAGCTCAGGCACGCAGCTCACCTGGGCCCTCTGTCCCGCTGCAGGAAGTGGAGGAGGATGACCCAGTTCCCGAGATACGCAGGGATCACTTTGAGGAGGCCATGCGCTTTGCTCGCCGCTCTGTCAGTGACAATGACATCAGGAAATACGAGATGTTTGCACAGACTCTACAGCAGAGCCGTGGCTTTGGCAGCTTCAGGTAACTGTAGGGAAGTAGGGGGAAGGCAATGTGGTTCAGCCAGCCCCACAGCAGAGCACCAAGGCAGCTTTCTGCTGGATAACAAACTCTTTCTGGTAAACCCTACTTCCACCATGGTTTTGCATTCTCCCCAGCATGTACGACAGCTAGTACACAACATGGCAGGTGGTACGCTGTGCTGCAGGTCTGTCATAGCTGCTTTGTTAGTGCTTCTGAAGTCCATCAACCCTTTTTCCTTTAACGCAAGCAACAGCCGACAGCTGTGCGAGCCTCTTGCGTGACCTGCTGTAAGGCTTCATCCCATTTCTCCTGCCTGTCCTACTTGGCACCAGGGTATTGGCATGGAGGGAGGGGATGGTGCCGAGCCACGAGGAAGCTTTTGAACAGCATCTCTTCTCTCTCCTTCTGCACTGCTGCACATAGGTTCCCCTCGGGTAACCAGGGTGGCGCCGGTCCGAGCCAAGGCACAGGAGGCGGCAGCGGGGGCAACGTGTACAGTGAAGACAATGACGATGATCTCTACGGTTAACTTGCTGTCCTTGGTGGACCAAACTCCCAAATCAGGCCACGTTGTACAGGGAAAAATCCAATGTTCAGTGGACTCTTGGCTTCTTCATTCCTCAGTCAGAACAGTGTAGCTGCACATCAGACTTTGTACAGGGAATGTTTTCTGCAAACACAAATCAAGACTGTTGTTCAGGGGAGAGGCAGACAGTGAATTAACAAGAGGGGAACCAACTTAATTTCTGAGAAATTTTCTGTTCTAGTTTATGTGGCAGAAGCAGCAGATTTAGCAAAGGGTACAACGCTAGCCTGTGTAAAAAAACCACAAAAAATAATTAAAAAAAAAAAAAAAATCTCACAAAACTGTAGCCAGGCCCTGGCAGTTCATTTGTGTGGTGCTGGCGCTGTCTCTAAACCTGTGTCTCAGGTGCTGTCCAAGTTCGGCTCTGGTGGAGTCCATCTGTATGTGCGCTTCCGTGCTGCGTACAGGGTTGCTCTTCATTCTAGCACCTCTTACCTCATGTTAACAGAATAGATTGATTTGGCAGTGTCTCTCCTCTGCCCTGGCTTGGCAGGAAGCGTTGATTAAGAGAGCGTGGCAGCACGTATCTGGTGTTGCCTCTCTGATGCTGGCCGTGAGCTGTTAGCTCTCCAGCTACTTTGGCTCCTCTGCAGCAAAGGACTTCTCCAGCAATCCCTTGTCTTGTCAGCCCTGCCTGAAGGCAGGAACAAGGGGCCTCTTGAGCTGCCACTGGAGTTTGTGGTGCAGCGTGACGCCACTATGCTTAGGGAAGAGGGGAGCTTCAGCACATTTTATACGTCTCCCTGGGTTTGTGACAACAGTCTCTGGTTTCTGGTGCCCGCCTGTCCCATGTTGCTCCCCGTACTTGGTAGCTGGGTTCTGAGCATGGTTCTTCTCCTTCCTTTCCACTTTCTCTAGCTCACTGTTTTGCTCCTTGATTTATTTTACCTTCTCTGAACTGAAAAATGTGCTACCGCTGTACTTTGTGTTTTATGTGAGAGAAGCCCTGGGTCTGGTCCTGTCATGCACACTGGAATTGGGGTGGAAGGCTGGCTATGGCTCAGGCAATGGCTGTAGGATGCACGAAGTGGCCATGTGCTGTCAGGTTTTAGGGAGGTGTGGGAACTGAGTGTTACTGCAAGTAGGGTTAAATGCAGATTTTGTGGCGGAAGGGTGTGCCAGGCATTTGAGGCTGAGCTAAGCGGGAGGGGGCAACCTCTCCCTCAGCAGGAGTTGTGTGGGGCCTAGGTGGTGGGAGTTTCTGCCCCAAAACCGAGTGAAGGGTCCTGCATGTGGGTTGGAGCAATCCCAAGCACAAACTGGGAGGAGAATGGATTGAGAGCAGCCCTGAGGAGAAGGACTTGGGGGTGCTGGTTGATGAGAAGCTCAACATGAGCTGGCAGTGTGCACTTGCAGCCCAGAAAAGCCAGCCGTGTCCTGGGCTGCATCAAAAGAAACATTAGCAGCAGGTCCAAGGAGGTGATTCTCTCCCTCTACTCTGCCCTCATGAGACCCCACCTGGAGTACTGCGTCCTGTTCAGAGGAAGGACATGGACCTGTTGGAGCAAGTCCAGAGGAGGGCCATGAAGATGGTCAGAGAGCTGGAGCACCTGCTGTACCAGGACAGGCTGAGAGAGTTGGGGTTGTTCAGCCTGGAGGAAAGAAGGCTCCGAGGAGACCTGATTGCAACATTCCAGTACTTCAAGGGGGCCTACAGGAAAGATGGGGAGGGACTCTTTGTCAGGGAGGGTAGTGATAGAATGAGGGGTAACAGTTTTAAGCTGAAAGGGGGCAGATTTAGACTAGATATTGGGAAGAAATATTTTATGGTGAGACGCTGGAACAGGCTGCCCAGGAAGCTGTGGATGCCCCATCCCTGGAGGTGTTCAAGGCCAGGCTGGATGGGGGGTTGTGCAACC